CAATTACGTAAACATAATGAAACAATTGATTTAATTCTATCGACAATAGATGGCGGTAATGAATCGGTTCATCAATATTTTCTTGCATGGAGAGCGCCAAAATTTTGGCAACGTTTAATTGAAAAATCTGATAAGAATCAATCAATGATTAACATTGATAATAATAATGATGATGGACATGAAAGGGTTAAATTAACAGACGACGATAATAGAATTTCAATGGAATCTATTACAAATCAACCACGTCGTCGTCGTCGATTATTCGTACCAAAAGAATTTATTGATGAATCAATCCTGTTACGATTAATGATTGATTCAATGTATCGTATGGAAAATTATAATAATAATAATAATCATCAATCATCATCGATTAATAATAATCATCAACAACAACAACAATTTTCCAATTTAATAGCATGGAAATTATTGAAAATTGCTAATGAGTTTCAATTGGAATTTCTTCTGCGTGATTGTATCGTATATTTTCATAGTCGTATTGGTTTATCGAATTGTATTGATTTATGGAAAGTTGGACAGAAATTTTTTCATTATAATTTTGGTGAACAATTAGCAAAATGTTCATATCGTTTTTTATTGATTAATCTTATTCGGGTAAGTTTTTTCTTTCCAATGTTTTTTCGCCCAAATGATTTATTATATATGAGCGGTGTGCGAAAACCCAACCAATCAAAAAACAAACAAGAAACAAATTTGTGTATGGTGCCTATGCATGATGATGAATGACTTTCAGAGTTGAATTTCTCATTTTTCTAAATGATGATGATGTTTGAAAGTAAAAAAAGAGTTCTTCCGTTTTTCTAATTCGGAAAACATTTTTTTGAGAAATTTGAGAATCTTTCTTTGTTTGTGTTTACACATAAACAGAAACCAATCAAATTTGATTGCTGATGTGACATTCATTTGGTGTTTCATATTTCAATGAATGGGGGGTAAAAAAACCCCTAATAATAAAGACACATATTGTATTTCGTGAAAAGTGGTTGTTTTTTTTCGGAACATAGAGAATTTGAATAATGAGAGTAGAAATAGTGATTATCTCATCATAATAAAGAGATTAAACACTGTGTTAAGTTGTTATGTTGTGTTTAAATTAAATTAATTCCAAGTAGAGAGAGAAGAAGAGAGAGTAGAAATAGGGGGAAAGAGCGAAAAGGGGAAAAGGTAGAAATAGTTGATTGAGAATTAATTACAAATAATGATTTGCTCGAATAACAATGTTTCTTTTTTTTTTTTGTTAACCCCCACCACCACTAGCTTTTACATTCAAATCAATATTGTAATCAAATACAAACATTAACAATTGGACAATTACGTACAATAATCGATGATAATCGTTTAAATATACGAAATGAAATTGAAATATGGTTTTTAATTAAAAAATGGATTGAATTTGATCCTGTGAATCGTTCAAATGAATTTCTATCATTATTTAGTCAAATACGTTTTAATTTAATTGATATGAAATCAATAAAAATCAAATTAATACCTGATCTTTTACAATTTGATTTTGATAAATGTCATGGGAATCTATGGAAAAATTTTCAAAATCAAAGTAAGTGTTTGTGTGTGTGTGTTTAGAGATTTTGTGATCAATCACAAATCTTCAATCATCAATGTTTTTCTTCTTCTTTTCTATAGAACCAAAAATCGATCTGGAAACATTTCGTCCACGCATACCACATCAATTATTATTACTGTATGGTGGTTATGAAGATGGTTATCCATCAACAACAATTAAAACATTTGATATTCGTTCCAGGCAATGGTTTCGTTTTTATTTTAATAAAAATGATCATTATCCACGTGTACATCATCAGTTGGTGGTATGTTTTTTGCATTGATAATCCTAACGATTTCCAAATTGAATTAATCGAATT